AAATTTGTAACATCAAGCCTGGGATAAACATTAATATTTTCTCTCAATTGAAAAATAAAGCTGACAACATGAAAATAGAACAAAGGTTATGTGTTGTTATGTTTGACGAAGTTTCTTTGAAGAGCAATGTTGCATATAACGAGAGAAAAGATAAAATCACAAGTCTTGTTGACAATGGGCAAAACAGGAAAACTGAATTTGCAGATCATGCTCAAGTCTTTATGTTACGTGGCTTAATTTATAATTATAAGCAGGCAATATCATATACATTCGCGTCGAGTGCTACTAAGGGACCTGAACGAGCTCAACAAATAAAGGACGTGATAAGAGGTTTGCAAGAATCAGGGTTCATAGTTGTTGCTACTGTATGTGACAAGGGTCCTAATAACAGACAGGCTCTGAAACTGTTAATTAATGAGAACAGGGGAATTTATTTGAGAAAAGGTGAAGAGCCTAAAGAAAATAAAATTTTAATGGTCAAGAAATTGTACCACTTTATGACCTGATGATGATGACACTGATGACATCTACTCAAAGGAATTAGAAATAACTTTATGTGCAAAGATTTAGAATTCACCAAAGATGGTGTAACAAAAATTGCAAAATGTTCGCATTTAAATTTACTTCTCAAAGAAAACCCTGGTTACAAAGGCATTAGGTAATTCCAAAATTAATGGAATATCATATCACCCCTCTAAAAATTAATAAAATGAAGGTTAAATTTGCCTCACAAATATTCAATCGTACTATGGCGTCTAATATGGGATACTTGGCAGGTAATGTATGTTTTATTTATTTATTCAAACTTCATGCACAAGGCGGGTACATAGGCGGACTTAATGCCTAAGACATTTTCTACCAGTCGAGCCTTGGGTGATGCAGAGCTGTGCCGGTGCAAGAAGCAAAGCAAACAGACTTTATTTTATATGAGTCAAAACGAGATAGATACATATATATGTGTGTGTGTGTGATAGATACATATATTTGTTTTATTGTATAACTAGAATATGCAACAAGCGAATGTACTATTCCGGAAAATCTAATATCTCACGAAAGTGTCATCAGTCACGTTTTGAAAAAATACTTGTTACGTGTTTGAAATCAATTGAAGTAGTTTGCAAAAATAAATATAATTCAGAACTTTAGGCGATTAAACTGTCATACAATTTTTTTTTTCAGGTAAGAACATACTTCCCGCTGAGTGTAAGGACACCGCTGATTTACTGCTGTTCATGGACAATATCTTTGACTCCGTGAATGGCAGTCGACAGAAAAATAGAAATGCAAAACCCTTACTAGGGCCAGCAACGCCAAACTCGGCACATCACCAAATTTGGATTGAGGGAGTACAAATTTTTAAATCGATGAAATTTGTATCGAATTGTAAAAAACAATCGGTTCCCTCCATTACCAATTGGGTGTGGACACTGAGTAGAATAAATAAACTACAAAATGAGTTTAACGTGTCGTCAGTGTGGTTGCGGCATCTTAATCAGGACCCCTTGGAAAATTTCTTTGGGGCGGTAAGAAGCCAAGGGTGCCGCAATACTAATCCCACCTGCGACCAATTCGAATCGGCTTTCACCACATTATTAATAAATAATATAAGCAGTGTCCACACCCGCGGAAACTGCGAAAAAGACTTTTGCGATGCATTGTATTCTCTCACCATCAACGAAAATGCAGAAACAACGTCAACCTGCTCATCGTTTGATTTTTCAAACATTATTGAATTTAATTTTACGCCTATAGAAATTAAAGAAAGGGATCCCCGTATTGTTGGACCTCTCCAATATATAAGTGGATATTTTTTGAAGAAAATTAAATCTAAAATATTTAAAACTTGTACAGATTGTTGTAACCTATTAATGGAAAAAAATGAAATTGAGTATATAAAATATAGGGAATACGCAGGTCGACGATGGCTTTGCACTCCCAGCAAGAAGTTAATAGAGCTGATTTCCAATATGCAAGATTTAATCAAACAAAAGAAAATATAGAAAAATTATATTTAAAGCTAATCATTAATACAGCTGTTAGTAGTTTTGTTGATTTTACATTTATAAAATGTATAATAGAGAAAAAATAATCGACTTTTTAATTAATATTGTTATTAGATTTATAATTTTTAATTACTGTAAAAATATCAATATAATATTAGCTGGGAGAAAAGATGTTGATGATGATGAGAACAAATTGCAAGTTTAAGCTAAAAAGTTAAGCGAGTACTATAGAAAAAACAAATAAACTAGATTTTCATCAAATATGTTGTTTCATTTATACCTCTTTTTGTTGTAGCAGTAGATAGTGTAATTCACTATAAGAATTGTAAAATATTTAAAGTGAATTACACTGTCTACGACTCGTTTCAGTCACGTAGTTGAGCAGTAACGAAAAACAACCAACAATCTATAGATGCACATCCATAGTATAGATATGGTTATATATATAATAAAAATGTTGTCTAACATGGATTACAGATGGCGCTGTTAGTAGTTACCCAATTTGACATCGAAGATTGGTCTCTATTTCCTATTGTTAAAATGTACTCTGTGGCATAGGAATGAAGATCGCACGCTCTGCGAACGCGTTATATTTACGTTAGTGCTATCTCGCTCGCGCGCGCACCTGTCTCGTTTCTTTAAGCTACTTGCAGAGTCAGGAAAGGCACGTTCTTATTGGACAATCGCGCGACGCTTTTATCGCGCGACTGCCACTACTTCAGCCCCAGTGATTTTGTACTTAAGCTCAATGTATGAACAGAAAATATATACGCTCATATTTCTACACTTCTACTCTTGTTTTATTTCAACAATATTCACATCGCTGCTACACGTTCTTCACAAAAGGAGGAGACGGCGTCCCAGTTCCTCTGACTCCGCACCATGGCCTCGACTAAGGTCGGGCGCGAGAGGTCGCCGCCGCCGATCACTTCCCTGAGGACACGGCGGTGCTCAGCCCAGGTAGGGCATACCGCCACCGTATCCTCTAGCTGGTCCTCACAATGACGACATCCGAAAAAGGAACCTACCGAATCTGCCGTGCCCGGTAAGGACCTACGACAGGTGGAAGGTGAGGACGCCGTGGCGTCTCTCAAGCCACTCCTCAAAGCGGGGTGTTTTTTTTTTTGTGAGGGGAAAATCATCAAATGACTTCTCCCGCCAAGGGCCGGGCAGGAGGGAGTGTCAGACTCTTACTGACTAAAAACCCCCCTGTTCCTTCTCCTGCTCTGTGCCGAGGTCGCGGTACCTCATTGCGCTTACCCCGCAACCTCGGCTGAACATCAGCCCTTTAGGGCCCCGTCTGTGGTGGTCGAATGGCTCTTTGAGGCGCGCGCGGAACGCTACGCGCCGTACGCTCGGGCCTGGTTCTGGTCGAGCGGCGAGCTGCCCTTACTCGCCGACCGCAGGCCCGTACTTACGGTGGCCGGAGATCGTCCCTCGATCCCCGACGCCCGTAGTGTCGCCAGTTGCGGCTGCTGGGGCGTGAGGAGGAGGATTGCTCCCTCACGCGGGCCGCCTCTCTCTTTGCGAGCATGACTGCTTCACAAAAGGAGGAGACGGCGTCCCAGTTCCTCTCACTCCGCACCATGGCCTCGACTAAGGCCGGGCGCGAGAGGTCGCCGCCGCCGATCACTTCCCTGAGGATACGGCGGTGCTCAGCCCAGGCAGGGCATACCGCTACCGTATGCTCCACCGTATCCTCTAGGTGGTCCGCACAATGACGACACTCGGGCGTTTCCTCCCGCTGAATCCGAAACAGGAACCTACCGAAGCTGCCGTGCCCGGTAAGCACCTGCGTCAGACGGAAGGTGAGGACGCCGTGGCGTCTCTCAAGCCACTCCTCAAAGCGGGGTGTTACCGCTGCCATAATAGCGTGCCCGGTCCTCGGTTGCGACAGTCGTTGTTTCGACTCTGCCATGAGATCACGCCGGAGCTCATTCCGCCACGCACTAATTTGGCGTGGCAGAGAATCCTCGCCCCGGCGACGCGCGTCTGCGCGCAAACTGTAGACGCGAGCGAACGCCTTCGCTCGCGCGCGTCTCTTATTCGGATAGCCTCTGGGACGCCGCTTTTTTGTAGCCATCCGAACTTGGTCGGGTTATGTAGGTTTTCGATGCTTCGTCAGTATTATAATTGTTTTTCTTTAATTACTGAATTTAATGACATGAAATTTTGCATGTGAATAGTTGAATGAATACACTAATTATTGGCATACATTTTACCATGCAATTCATTTAGAACGTCGTGATATTTGACTGCTTTGTAAACAGTGATCTATTCATGGTAATTTTGTCCTATAACTATTTAATTACTAATGGAACATCATTGATACTTGGCAACATGTTGCAGACACTTACAAGGTTTGTATAAACGTGAAAATCTAGACCCCAAAGTGCATACTTTAAGAACATAACGTAAAATACCTAATAAGCGTATTTTACGTTTATATTTTTATCTTTTAAACCCTACGATTTTTTCTAAATCTGTTTTTTAAACAAATATAAACAAATTCAAAACAACGTAGGTATGTAAAAATCTACAGCTCTCTATGTAAGCGCTTTATATGAAAACTAGCTAATGGCCAAACGTTCGCGTAGCGGAAACTTGAATTTCTCCGAAGTTTATGCATGCATGCACTAGTTTTATTCATACATACCCAATTACACACAAATAGGTACCTACACACTATTTTTGGATACATCTCTTTTCTTCTAAATTCTATGGATTAAAAAAAGTTCCGCCAGGACAACGTTCGCCCAGCGGAATCAGTTTTTGGTGAATTTCTCCACAATGGTTGCGTGCACAAATTTTTTTTTTACCATACACAATTATAAGACGTCATACACTAAATATCTGCATAATTAAAATCTTTAAATTCAACAACATTCCGCTGCCCGAACGCACGCGCTTCCACACGCGCCTCAAAGATAAACCTAAGACGAGGCCGATGTTCACAGAAAAGGAAGGGCAGTGGGCCTAAAGCAGGGAACGGAACCGGTTGTTTTTAGTAGTCCGACCACGGGTCTGACACTCCCTCTCGCCTCACCCTGGGCGACTAAAGACATTTAAATGATTTGCTTGCAAAAAAACCCCATTCTCTTCAACAACTTTACCTATCAGTTTATTTCTATTAGCAGATGCTGCAGAATGGCTAGTAATATATCCTAAACCTTATTACAATCCAGATAAAGTGCAAAAAAACAACTTTTTACTTAAATTTTTTATTTAAGCCTTAACAGCATAAACGCGAGGAGGGAAAAGAGACTTCTTTCTGATTTCTTTCCTGGTCTTAATTTTAGCTTCATGCTTTGTTAGGGCCTTACGCATAGCACGCGTCTTCTTGGTCCTCAAGTCTAAAGGCTTGTACTTCTTGTTTTTGTAGTGATTTCGGAGGTTGACCTTCATTTTCTGGTGGTACACAATGTAAACACGAGCAATTGCCTTCCGCACCACTCGTCTAAAACAACACAAAGATAATCAGAACTTAAATTAACAATTCCAGCATGGGAGAGCCATGTGTTGGCTCTACCAGAGTGATACCACATCCTTACAGATAACTGGGGTGAATCCGTAACAACATTGTGTTTTCAATGTAAGTGACATTACCGGAGGCTCAATCCCTCCCCTTTCTAGTCCTTAGACATCCGAAACCCTTATCCCTAAAAGACCAGCAATGCACTGGTAACTTCTCTGGTATTGCATTTATGTTGTTGTCCATGGGTGGCGCTGATTACTTACCATCAGGTATCTGCTTATTGCTGCACACACTTAATAATAGAAAATAAACAATTCTTGTCTAAACAAGCTATAGCAAGATGTATAAGAATATGAGATAATCAATATTCTTAAAATCCTAATATTTACATTGGCAAACTTAATGGAAACAAATTTGAATAGTCTTTTATATTTCTTTTAATTTAAGTTTCAATTTATGTACACTTTTTAAACTTAATCACAACATCATGGTTCACCTTTACAGCACGGATATTTATGATTTTCCCAGAATTTACCTCAGATTTCACAATGTTAGTTACATATTAATATAAAATCCCTCAGCAATTCGGTATTTGTTATTGTTTTATAACATGGCTATTTATTGTATACAGTGCAGGTTTTAACTAGCAAAACAATCAAGAATAAATTTCTTTTGGTAAGGCCATAAATGTTTTTGTTTTAAATGTCAACATTACACATAAAATACCAAACCAAAGAGTAATGTCTATTTAATTTCAAACACAGGAAATGTATATTGTAATACTAATGTATTACTGTAATATTTGACAGAAATCAAAACTTTAACTTGATATAATATAGAATACGAATTCCATATTATAAGTAAGAAGCGGTACAAATAAGTATTAAATCTACAGAATATCTACGAAATGTGCAGTAAATAAAACAATCACAATACTTACATTTTGGATAGTTTGGATGCAACTCCGCCAGTTACTTTGGCCACACGCAAATTTGTCAGTTCTGTTTTCAACTCCTCGAGCTGTTTGAACAGCTCCTTTTTGTCTTTAGTGCGTAACTCAGAGCACTTAACCTTACCCTGAAAAAAACAACGACATCAATAACATCACTCCACTTTTAACACTAAAATTACCATGTTGAGGGGTCACTACAATCTTCTGCCGTGCTTCAAATAATAACAATTCAATTAAATAAATTCCAAAACATATACGGTCAAAATGTTTCATGTGTATGGACCGGTTCTAACAACTTTACACCACATATTATCACAAAATATCTTTTAAATAAGATTTCATAAAACACAAAGGATAAGGTTTCATGGCTGTAACTTCTAATAAAAAAGTGATGGGCCATAATTTAAAAGATGAGAAAAAATTCACAAACCATTTTGAAAACGTCTCGACTCGCGTTTTTGACGTAAAGAAAAGAAAATGCAGAGGTTAGCGATAAGTGTTGCAAGAATTAAAAAATATTTTATGTCATTGTTAGACCGTTCGGAAACGCGACTAAAGTTCTTTTCACTGCTTTCTAATTTGGACGTACAAGTATGTAATATTGTGGTTTTTTTAATTATATAGTAAATAATGTACGATAACAGGCATAAAATATTTTAATAGGTAATATAGCAGATTTTAACTTAACTTTTGTAACGATGACAAAAAACCTTATCAACCTAACGTCATTCTACAAATCCAAAACTTTTATTGACCCGTATTAACCAGACACTTCAAAATAATATATTTTCGACTTTACTTTCACACTATAAAAAGGCTCATTAGATTGCATTGAAATTTTTTTATTTATTTTTATGTAAGAATGTAATGCAATTAGAAAAAAAAATAACATCTATAAGTTATTTATTTTGGAAATAGATACAAACTTTTGTACTGTCCTCCACCATGGAGGAATAAAATCTAAGGTCTAAGGAAATAAAATTTCTACTTTCTATTCTACAGTCTAATTATTCACACATAACCTCTACTAGGTTCAACTCATTTACAATAGTATGAATTTTTAAATTTTTATTTTTTTACATTTGTATGAATTTATCTAACTTGTGAGATATGCTTCGAAAAAAATACATCAAATACACTCGGGGCAGTTTTCTTTGATATACAAACGAAAGACTTTATAAAATTCCAGATAAACTCTAATATTTCGATAATGTATGCAGAACTTATTGCCCTATCAGAAGTCTTTTCATATATTCAGTCAGTTCAGCATTTGGTTCGTCGGTGCATTTCGGGCTTGAGAGGAACCCTAGCTAGCCCTAGGAGCTTTCCTAGGGCTAGCTAGGGTTCGTGAAAGCTTTTTCACGATTATCAAATTGATGATGGACATTTTATCTTCTAAGTTGGTCATTTATCTACAATGGATACCGTACCTTCGCATGTTGGTGTGGAAGGTAATGAAATAGCTGACGGATTGGCTACAGAGGCGTCTCACAGCGGAATATGTATGGATGTTTTACCTTGTTTTTCTGATTGCACTTACATTATTAAACAAAAATCACTTTGGAAAGAATACTTTGATGAACGGTCCAAACATGTGGGAATCTTTATCTTTATTATATATATAAAAAATAGATTGCAAAATATATTGGTAAGCGCATAACTCAAAAACGCCTGGACCAGTCTATTGTCAGGAGAAGGCTCTTATCAAAGAAAATATTAGAAAAGAAGAGGGGAAGATTAGGAAAAGTTAGCCGTTTGTCTGCGCAATGGATCTTTTAGGAACAAAATTGTGTACTGCGCCGCTAATCGCCTAACTTGAGACTCGCCAAGATACATCGGCCACACTGTAGTTGCGAAGCGGGGGCGGGCCGCTAGTATGGTATAAAATTGTCCAATCACATCCTTGGCAAGCTCCTTGGTTTAAAATATCAAACCTAGACAGACAAGATATTGTACTGTTGTTTAGGCTATGTTCTGGTCACATTCCGCTGAATAAATTTACCTTTCTAATGCGAAAAAACGAAATGTCTCCGAAATGTTTAATTTTGCAGTAAAGTTAAAGATGTACATCATATTTTAGCGGAGAGTGATCAGAATGGAATTAAGACGTCGATTTTTTGGAAATGAATAAAGAATGTTGCAATAATAACGTTAATGTAACAATTTTATTATATCAATTTACTATCGTCTCCACTTTTTGAAAGAGTAAAAGTACTTGTTAGTTAAAGAGGGTCTAAGGCGGAGATCATCTTTGCCTGAATTTTTTTTTAACCCCGACGCAAAAAGAGGGGTCTTATAAGTTTGACGTGTTTGTCTGTCTGTGGCATTCTGGAGCCTGAACGGGTGAAGCGATTTCAATTTAGTTTTTTTTGTATTAAAGGTGACTTACTTCCGAGTGTTCTTAGACATGGTTAACGAAAATCGGTAACGAAAAAAGTGGGGAAGGGCAAATATACTCGAGTGGGGTGTCAAATGAAAGCGCACTGAAAGGGAATGTTGATGACTTAATCAAGAGAAAATGATAATAAAATACATATAAAATAAAAAAATAAATTAGACCCCCGACAAAGTAGAAATATACAGTTGATATTCTAATAAAATGTTTGGATCGGTCCCCCAACGCCAGGCACCCACGTTTTCTTAAAATAATACTTTTTAAAGGAATAACAGATCTTACGTCGGGGGCTTTTTAAATTTTAATGTTTATTTAAATCTTAATTTATTTTTGCTTTGTGTACGGAGCGTCTTATTTATAATTAAGCTTTTTTAATTATAGATTAAAAAAAAAACTATAGAGATGTCGAATTGACATCTGTCAATATTTTAGCGAATGACATTGTCTGTTGTCAATCGTTGAGGTTGAGCTCGAGCGAGGTTGAGGTTGTAAAAGCAGCGAATGAGCGAAGTACCCGGATTTGTCTGTATTCTGTAACCTGATTTAGTCACTTAGGGTAAAATAAAACATTTTATGGAATTTTGTTTTTAAACAATGTGTAGAACAGATTTGTAATTACTTTCGGTGATATTTTATTTTTTAATTTTTACGTTTATAACAGTGATTCTTTTTTCATTGTGCTTTATTATTTTATAAACGTGAAAGTTTGTATTGTGTACAGTAAAGGCAAGAGTTGCAATTGAGGTCTTCAACATTTTTTTTTTATATTTGTTTCAGCCAATTTAAATCATGAATGACGACAATGAAGTCTTTAGTATAAATTACAAAAAATCTTTACAATATTGGGCAGACATACCACCTACAGTAGATGGAGTGCTTGGAGGATTTGGATTTATTTCAAATGCTGACATAGAAGGATCTGAGCTATTCCTGAAGTCTTTACTTTCCTCTGAGAGTGGTCCTTCAACTAAAGTTGCACTAGATTGTGGTGCTGGAATTGGCAGAATAACAAAATATTTATTACTGCCCTATTTTGAATCAGTTGATGTAGTTGAACCAGATGAAAAATTTATTAATTCTATCAAAGAATATGTGGGTGAACTTGCACCAAAACTGGGTTCATTATACAAAGTTGGCTTGCAGGAATTTGTTCCTGTTAGAAAATATGATGTTATTTGGAATCAGTGGGTTTTAGGGTATCTCACAGATGAAGATTTAGAAGCTTACCTAATACGCTGCAGGTTTGACATTTTTAAAATAGTGATAAATATTTGTGTTTTGATTTAATATTACAATTTAATATTAACGGGAATCAATTATTTTTCAGAGATTCGCTGTCTGGAAATGGAATAATTGTAGTAAAGGAAAATGTTACTTCTTCTGGAAAAGTTGAAAAAGATTCTACTGATTCATCAGTTACAAGGACTCTTAAACAATATGTCAATATATTTAAAAAATGTAATTTAAAAAGAATTAAACAGTGTAAACAAGCTAACTTTCCAAATGGAATATATCCAGTATATATGTTTGCTTTAGTACCAAGTAATAAAGAATCAGAAAAATTAATGGATAGATAAAATAAATAATATTAACTTTATTATGAAGTTTTAATAAATATATTAATTAAATTTTACTTTGTCTGAAAAGAAATGTATGTAATTACAATAGAAAAACATACAAGTACTTAGGATTTTAGTATTGGTTGATTAAAGATAAGATTACAAGGTATTGGTGCAAAGTATAAATGAATACACTTTACAACAATCCATTGATGATATTATGTGGTTTGATTTGTATTGCTATAATAATCCTGAAAGGAGCTGAAAGAATGAATTAAAAATTGCGGTAGTCACGTGTATACTATTGAGAAAAGCTCTACTAGTTTCAAACCACAGAACAAACTAGTAGGCTGCGCGACACCGCGCCCGCGCACGCTGCTCATGAGGAAGAACCCCTCTGTGGTTCGAAACTAATAGAGCTTTGCTCAATATTATACACTTGAGTAACCCGCGAATTTTAGTTAATTTAGCATGTCTCACGATAGTTATTATAAAAACAACGCTAAAAGAAGTTGCTAAGAACTTAGAAAAAAATATCAATTAAAAAATTGCATTGGTTGGTACCTACAAAGTGTTGTTTTAAGGGAGTATGGCAGCCACCTCCCTATCCTATAAAATAGTCTTCTGTTTTAATTTTATTCGTAATTATTAGTAGGTACCTAATTTTTTTTTAATCTTATACGTCCCTACCGCTTTTCTCTCATCCCTCATAAACAGCTACCATGCCGCAACCATTTACCTATTGCACTTTTTGAGATAATGTGTCCAAATCTGAGGTATTACCTCGCTACACAAATGTAGCGAGGTAATACCTCAGATTTTTTGGTTTTAAGGACACGCCATAGTAAAGCAAAATGATAACTCAGTTTGCTGAATAATCCTGGCCTTATTTTAATAGTGTGGATTGACCGCTTGGTGTGTAGGTTGACCGGGTCACACGGTCAACCTACACACCAAGCGTTGTTTCACGCTTGTCACAGGCTACCAGCCGTGATAATGGTTTATTTAAGGCTAGGTACCTACTTATTTATGACATCTATGTTCTAAGTTATGCATCGTTTGACAACTATCTATCCATGCATAATACGGTAGTCTCCAACTAGGTAGGTACCTAATCAAATTCAATACTTTTATCCAAACGTCAAAAACGATACTTTTCTATGAATTTTGTATGAAAAACTGAGCTATGACGTCATAATATTTTTGCGTCAAATAGCTTACTTATTACCCGACTGCCAAAGAAGGAGGGTAATGTTTTTCGAGTGTATGTAAGTATGTATGTATGTCTGTTCCTTTGTGACCTCCTGTAGCCTAAACGGCTTGATGGATTTTGATGTATGAGGTATCGTTAGATTTGTCTTGATTACGGGAGTGTCATAGGATACATTTTATCCTAAAAGTCCCACGGGATAAAGACATAATAATATTTTTTCTAAATTTCCCTTTAAAAAAACAGCTAAAAAGTTATAAATAAAAAAATTATTATTAAAAAAACAAAATACCCGACTGCACACTAAAAAAAGAGTAAAACAAGCCCCACAATACAAATTTACTGAATATAATTTATAAATGTTGATGGAAAGCATCGCAGGCGGGGACCACCTTGACCGCCACCAACGAAAATTCTGCTAAATGGTGCACAACAGAAATGACTATAAATAAGCCTCTGTTGGTCCCCGCCTGCGATGCTTTCCATCAACATTTATAAATTATATTCAGTAAATTTGTATTGTGGGGCTTGTTTTACTCTTTTTTTAGTGTGCAGTCGGGTATTTTGTTTTTTTAATAATAATTTTTTTATTTCACTAATTATTGTGAAATAAGTAAGCTATTTGACGCAAAAATTAAACTTGGTGGTGGCTTAAAAAATCTTAAACTTGGTGTATCGATCGATCGACGAATAAAAGTATAGTTATTTTTCAATATTTGATAGTATTGAAACATCGAATTAATTTAGTTTTGACCTAGGAAATTACCCAATTATGTAGATTTTAAGCGTCATATCTTCTAATTGGAGCCGTGTCTATATTGTAATTATTTATTTTGATATAGTTTCTAATATGTTCACGATCATTTTCTGTCAAAAGGGACCAACTCTCTAACTCTACCAATATTTCCAAATTCATACAACTTTGAATAATTCTGTCTACAGATATCATTGATAAGTAGTCCGATTGCATTATACGTAATTCCTTCAAATAAATCAGTGGATTTTTGTCTAATATTTTAAACATTACGTCGTCGGTAAGTTGTATTGCCGTCCCTATATGAATAAATTGTACATTTAAGCAATTAGTTAGAATAAATAGTAATTGTTCTTCTGTGCAAGTAGATATAAAAGTAATTTTTTTTAGATTACGAAATGGATCAATTTCTAGTTTTTTTGTAAATAGAGACGTATGCTGTATTAGTGTGCAATTATAAAAAGTAAGAGATTCTAAAAAAGGACACATTTGACTTATATACATAAGGGCATTTAAATCAATTTGATCGACGTGTTCTAAGTGTAAGTGTACAAGATTACAACCTTTGACCTGGAGAACTTGTTTTATTTGATCTGCATAAAAGTCGCATGACAGCAATTTAAGCTCTCTAAGGTCTTGTAAACCTATTAGTACCATTAGGTCACTTTGTAAGGTGTTATGAAAAACAGTCATGCTCCTTATATAGGGACACATTTGAACAGCTAACTGTAATTGATTATTTGTTGCATACCGACTAACATAAGTCTTTAAATGAAAAGTCATTCCAACTGAATAATTAAGATCAATGTGTTCTAAAATTTTGCCTATCTCATCACATCTACCTATGTCTTCGATGTTTTTGCATTTCAAAAGCAACTTTATAAATCCTTCCATTGTCACAAAAGTTCTGTATAACTGAATGCTTCTTAAATTTTTAATTTTCGCTACAATATCCATACTCTCGTTAGTAACACATTTTGAACAGGAAACATCTAATTTTTCTAGTAGATGACAATTATCTACGATGCATTGTAGTATATTATTTGTACAATCATAATTCATAGTTAAACATTTTAAGCGATGTAGTTCTTTTAAAGATTTAATAATGGCATCTTCCATGTCTGCAGTTTTCCAACCTCCGGACAATGATCCTAAGTTAAGGGAGACTAGTCCGTTAAGCATGTATAACTTGGAGTAGAATACAGACCGCAACATCTTTGGAATGGTGTCAATTGAGACGATCGTTAAATTTTTTGTAAACAAAACTTCAGCCATTCTTATAATAACATTCATTTGACTGACAAATTTTCCCATATTGCGTCTAAATCCTAAAGACTGCTTGGTTTCTTCAAGAAGTTCCGATAGTGCTCTAATTGTATCATTTACCAATAAGTCGTGAAGCATCCAGGGAACGTTAATATCTAAATATTCACGAATTTTAACAATATTACGTGTTAGAGCTGATTGAGCTTCGTTGGTGTCACGTTGCGAGAGCATTATAATTGGTAGCATTTGTTGTTTAGCTTGTTCTGCTATCCAATCTCCAAGACCGCTTAATGCTAGAGTCTCTAACTTCTTAGGCTGCTTGTATCGTGGCATATTCACCTGCAAACAACAATTGAAATAAAGTAGGTACCTGGGTACTTAACTTCGAATATAATAGCTATATATTTAGTGAGATCGTAGGTAGATTGATACTACAGCCCCACATAAAACCGGCGTGAAACAATTCTTTATTGTACAATATTTCAAAAACTGTTTAACCCAGCAAGTTAACTTTTTAGCAATTATTTCCAAAACTATTAAAATTATCAAAAAATCTTAGTAAATCCCTATTCATTTTTAAATACCTACCTATGCATTATTATGTTACACACGTAAGGGTTAAAAAGAAAAAAAAAACACTTCCTAATTTAGGTAGGCTTTTCTACTTTTTCGACGTAATTGATATACTTTTTTTTATAATATTCGTTCTTTGGGAACAGGCTAAGGTCCGAGACCATACCGCCTATGATTAATATACATGTTGATGCTTTCTTTTTTTAAATTTCAGCTTTCTACTGCTAAAGGTCACTGAGATTATCCGCGGACGGACAGACGAAACGAAACTATGAGAGTTCCTAGTTACTACGGAACCCTAAAAAGGTATACCTAGGATACCTAGGATTGATGAGGATCTAGGTGTCTACGTATTTAGGCATCGTATAGGTATGTGGGTAGGTATTTCACAAGTATCAGTAAGTAGTAGTAGGTAGGTAATATCATTCTTACAATATCGCTCTGTCTATTTGTAAAAATATGGGATGGTAAGTATGCATATTTAATATTAGCTAGGTATTGCCGCTATTGGTCGTAGGGTGATGTTTTATAAACTACTACCTCAATTATCTATCAGTAAAAAAAATTGGAAATGAGCGAGAAGTGGAAACCTGGCGCTGTTTCTATTTTACCTATCGGAGATAAAAATAATGCATGTAGGAAGGTAGATACTAGGATAGATGCTTTACTGTCCTCAAGCACTCTTACATTCAAAACCTTTATATTACGACATTTAAAGATTAGTAAAATAATACATTTTATAAAGCTGAACATCAAAATGTCTTTTAAATGTTTATATATGTACGAAGTACAAATTCAATTGCCTAATTTTAATTAGTTATTCCGTAGTTACTTACCGCTACAAACCAATAGTTGAGGCTACACTGATTACGCGAGACTTTAAGATATCAAAATCTAGATATTAATTAAGTTTGTGTTGTAATTTTCTTACATTAATTGCAATCCAAGAAATTTATTCGTAAATTAAAAAAATATTCTTAGCATATTTGTGCCGTATTATGACCTATATGAGTTATTGCGCATGCGCATATATATTTTTAGCTTTGAAAGAGAAACTAAATGCGCGAACTATACTGATATCCCGAATGTTGGTACATCGCTAGTACTATCTATAGACTCAGTAAATAAAACAGTTTAAAAGTTATGACATCATTCAGTGTGAGTTTTCAAAGTGGTTGTGGGTGGGTCTGTACTTCTTTAATTAGTAAAAGAATAGTAACAAACATGGTATACTATACTTTCAGTTATCTGTGTCAGCGTGGAACATTTACTTATAACTAAAATTTATTACGCTAATAAATCATTGGAATCCTAATTATTAAAAATTATGCACTTATGAAATAGCTTAGTACACATATTACATGAACAGTTTCTGTGAAATGTACTTTTCATTTCTTCATACTGAAATATGAAGAAACTCGTATTGACATTTGATATACATGACATTGACAGTTGACATTCGATAAGTCAAATCTGTGGCGTTGACATGACATTTCTTCATTCAGTAAGTATTTGTAGATTTGACCGAGCAGTACAATAATCATTGTTCTGTGTTATTCATTTCTTTTAGTAATCAAGTGATTTAGTAAGGATTAACTTTGAATATTCGTCAAAAAATGTGTTGTATTTATTAACATCAACATAAATATACATATTTAATGTTCGATATTTGCTGTTGTTCAAGTTGGCAAAGCATTAATTAAATGGGAAATTATTTCTACTAAACATTTGGATTGTTTCAGTTGCTTATTGTCATTGGCAACCAAAGTATGGCTCTACCGTTACCCATACCTCCATGTGCTAAAAGAGATGGCCTAAGTGGCTTAAGTTGTGAACATTTTGATTATGCTAGTACTATGGCGACAACTTTGTTGGCACCAGTTAAAACTGAAAGACAAATTCTTGAGCACTCTATGTCTGAAGATGACCCTAATGCAAATACGCAATTACCAAGCTTGGTGGACAAGCAGCCACGCTGGGGTCCGCGCCACCGTGGTGCCCAGGAACTAGCTGAACTTTATAGTCCAGGTAAGTGATACAATTGCGGTTTCGTATTTTATCCAAATCATATAAATAAATTTATATATTACCCACTTAAAGTGATTTAACACTTACATATTTAATTAACAACAATGTTTACGTGTTCCAAGTTATAATTTTAAAAAATGCCTTCGTAATAATATTGGTTTATAATGGTATGAAACATGATGCAATTGTAGGTAACATGTGTTTTCATTGATTAAAAATAAAGTTTGTGATGTGTCTACTATGGATGACTGTAGTCTGTAGATAGTTTTCAATACACACATTTGGAGAATATATGGTGAAATCACATGAATGCTGAGAGAAAAAACTACAGATTTTGTTGGTTCTGCCATGTCCTGTGAATGAGATATGTTTGTGAAGATGTGCAGATTGGATTTGGGTTATCCCATGGCACAACATTTCTGTTGCACCAAGCATTGCTAGAGAGCTGTACTTGTTGTAACTATTGTTAGTTAGCTTCTAGCTTGTAGGTGGTAATGAAAAGATTACATATATGCTTAAAATATGAATGAAAATTAGTACAACTAGGACCAGTTCAATGAGAATACACTTATATATATACAGTGTGTAGTGCAGTGGGTTGAATTGCTGTGCTCCAACAAAGAAAATGTTTGTTGGTACTGGTACTAAACATCTTCAAAATAAACTGTTTAACTTATCATCATCAAGTTTTATTTTTTTATGGGTTTAGGCAACTTTTCAAATAGCAAAGAATGGGAGAGAAATATTAGAACTCCTAACTGATGAGAAGTTCTAAGTACCTTTAGGTAAGCAAAGCATAGCGTCATTCTGGTTAAATGGGTACCTCATAATTCTCATTCTTAAAACTTCCATAATCAGCTCATCCACATACCTATGTATTTGACAGTAGTAGGTACTTTACTTTAGCAGTACTTTACGAAATAGCCGGAAATCGCCAGGACAAATGCAAAAAAATCTAATAAATCAGATCAGTTTTTTTTGTAATTGTGCTTTAACGAAAAGTATCTGAAATAAATGAATTGAGAGATTTCATAACCTGCATAGGGTCTCCAACATCAGACATATCAAACTAATTATATCTTTGTCAATTTAAAATCTCGTCAATACAAATGAATAAGGCCTAATTAGCTGTATGGTTCATTTCCCACTCCCCGCGACTGCCGCTACTACTCTTCCCGCGGGTCGAGTCAACTAAGAATGCGTTTACTCATAACGTCGATAATAGGAATGCCTCCTGGGTTAAAACATCAAGATTAATTAGTCCGTCAGTTTGATAATAGAAAAATACTCGATACGTATTTTTTTTATTTGTCCATACGAATAATATTCAAAGATACAGCACATTCAAATTCAGGAGTAGGGGCTCGTGACGACACTGTCACGTCACGACAATGACGTAGCGCGAACTTTCGCCGCTCTGTAACTTTGTTATTTTAAGTTTTAGAAGCAAAAGAAAAAATACGTATCTACTATTTTATGGCATTCTAAAAAATGGACTAATTATGATTTTTTAGTCATCATCCCTATTCTTCATCACCAGGGCTCTAATAACAATCACAAACCCATCTATGTTTAGTAGAGTTCTCAATTGTCATCATTACAAATTAAATCAAATCCTGACTTGATGATTATGAGACCATCTTGAAAGTATAAGCTTTCAAACAAAAACAATCACAAAAATACGGTTCATAAATGACAAAGTAATCCCCGACCAATGTAGTTATATGCGTATGCTAGATTGCTAGCTTCCGCCCGCGGCTTCGCACGCCTAAGTAATGTATCCCGGGATTTTAAAAACAGCAGCGTTTAAAGCTATAGCTTGACTAAAACGCGCAAATCCGTATAGTTATATATAGCACTCAGGCACATTGTATCTATTAGTAAAAGAATTTTGGAAATTCGATCCAGGTTCCAAGGAAAACCCCCTAACATACGAACGTGCAAATTGTACCTCCTTATAATATTATTAGTATAAACGTGGAAACATGCTGAAAAAATAACTTATATAATTTTTATTATTATACCAGCATACTTCATAACGTCTGTCCTGTTCAACCCCTGTTTGAACTAACTTGTCCTTGAGCGTTGATGACTTATATATTGATTTTAATGTAGAATTGTGTCTACGACTCACTTTAATGGAACATGATACCCTTGTATTGTAAGTAGTTAAATTAATAGGGAAATTCAGGGTAGGTACTTAAAATATTAAACACCCGAATAAAGTATCGCAAAGATATGATTAATCAAAGCAAATTGTCCATGATGCGACTAGACCTGTCATCTTTGGGAACGATATCTTTGAATTTGTAGACTACTACATACGTAGATAATGTGCCGTACCGTCGGCCCGGAGCAGAAGAAGGAATTTAATGGTTTCTAGTCAGTAAGAGTGACATATCTCTCGCTCACAACAAAAGGTATAACCGAGTCCTACAAAAATTTTCCCCGAAGAATCCAACTAAAATTCGCAGCGTTTTAGAAAGTCTTTTCATCGTAAATCCCACAGTGCTTAAATACCAGGATGTGCAACCAGTATTGCCACTATTGCCAGTGATCACGCATGGAACTGAGACATAGTCCCCGACTTTTGTACTACAAGATAGTTATAGAGGCGCTCAACGCATGGGGAGAGGTATATTCGGGGTTATCTTTGCGCGACGGAATCCTTAATGACTAGATGTCGATCTTTGAGTGTTGATACTCTCCAACTGCAACAGGCTAACTGGTACGCAATTATGCTCAAAATATTCGTAAACATTGTTGTTAATTACAGTGCCTACATCATTTAAATAACTTGATTTGTGAATGTAAACACATAAAACACTATTTTTGCAAATGTAAGTGGTGATTCACTAACGGCGGAAATTAATGAAATCCAAAATCTTTTGAATTGGATTCAAATCAATTTTTTACATTCGTTTTATAGTTTACGTCAAAAATTGATATTAATCCACATATTTTGTATTGAGATCAGTTATTAATTTCGGCCGCATTAAGCTCTACGTAGATCCCAGAGTCAGGTTGCATTGAGATTAAATTATATTACAAATAGAATTCAGAATGAATTTTTTGTTTTAACAGGCAAAAGACTACAAGAATGGGTCTGTGTGGTGGTTTGTTGCACATTATGCGTCTGTGCTGGTGTTCTCATGGCCAGACATGTACAAGCGGATGCCTTATTATTATTAGCAGCAATATCTGGTGTTCTAACAGCAGATTTTGCTTCAGGCGTAGTGCATTGGGCTGCTGACACTTGGGGAGCAGTTGATCTACCTGTTATAGGCAAAGTAATAATAATATTGTCTTTACAAGATCCTATACTTATTCATTTTTACTATAACTGCAAACATATTTCCATTCGCTCACCCTCGTCATTCATAATAAACTACTCATGCCTTGATAGGAAAACTACGTGTAAGGATATCGATATCTTAGCACCACCGATAAGATAGTTGGTAGTCAAACTGACATTTTATTTCTCCTCGTAAAGCCTAGTATGTACCTACTTATATTATGTCTCAGGCTAAGGCATCAACCAACCACAGCCCATGTATATAAACAAGCATATAGGATTTCCACGTATTTGTTGCAAAATGCACGGTAAATTTTATGTATCCTCGCTGTAAGTGCTACCTCCATTAGACATGTACAATATGTAGCTGCTACATGTTAGCTATAAACCGTCACAGGTTTCAATTTTGGGGCTGTAAACTATCTTAATACCTCGTTAATTGAAACATGTGAAGAGTCTCATAAAAATCATTTCTGCCATGGCATTGTTATCTTGGCTTTTGCACGTAAGTAGGTACGTACTTCTCCAATAATAACTAATCATCAATCACTTGTGTCACGATTCGCATTAACCTATTTATAATATTTTTAAGTAAATGGTTACAACGCGACGCACTGTTTACTTTCAAAGCAATTTAATAAGCTTAAATACACTTTTAGTGTCATTTCTTTGCCTATATACTTGAGCCTTTTTTCGTAGTCAACTCGTAGCTTAACTGTGGGTCATAATATTTCGACTCGTGTAAATTACGCGTATCATCATATTATGTAAAGGTATCTCGATTCTCGGTTCAAAGCTATACCATTTCTTTCCATTCTTAAATAGGGCTCTATAGCGTTATTTAGACCTAAAATTGTGGACTTAATTAATAAAAATATCTGTAGGAAGTAATCTTAGACAATATGCTCACTGAACCCTTGGTCCTATTATAAGTACGCAAGTCCGACTCGTACTTAACAAGTTTAGCTTATAAATAAATCACTTTTCAAAAATGTGCTGATAAATAAAGATTATTCGTTCATCAGGATTACTACCTAACTATATTTTATTACATTACGCGAAATTAAAAAAAATGTGATAAGTCATATCGGTAATCTATCCGGACCGGAGTATCGCTTATTACGGCAGCTGGGGCGTGAGAAGGTGGATGGCTCCCTCACGCGCTTCGCCTCTTTCTATGCGAGCATTACCACTTAGCAGAAAGAGGAAATGGCTTCCCAGTTCCTTTCGTTTCGCAACAAGGCCTTGACTAAAGCCGGTCGCCCTCTTGCGTAATTACAGACGCATGCAAGCGCTTTCCTCTCCAAAGGCTATAACAGTGATCTGAAAATCGCCGTGGATAGTGTGATATCTGTGCGTGATGAGAATCAGCGCTCGAGTTTGCTGCCGAGTCAGATTTGGCGCTCATACATGGGCCTCGTAGGATGCGCGACCCCATAGTCCGACTCACCTGGAAACGCGTTCCAATGGCCAAATAAAATCTACCTGAAATTATAACATTTTTGACTAGATACCACGCTTTCTTAGGATTCGGTTTTGGTGACAAAGTTGTCAAAGTGTCAAGTTAAGTTGTCCGAGTTGAATTTTAATAAGTACTAGCGGTCCGCCCCTGCTTCGCACGGGTCTACCTATCTCGCTATCAAAGCATCACTTTTTCCTAAAAATTAGAAAAGTAGAGGGGACTCTACTTTTCTAATTTTTTCTTTGATATGAACCTTCTGCTGACAATAACAAACACAACAAAAAAAGAATAAGCAAAAGTGGTCCAGGCGTTGTTGAGTTATGCGCTTACCAACACATTTTGCGATCCATTTTTTTTAATAAGTATTATGATATTTTTGGAAATATTTTGTTAATTACCGAGTTGCGTGATTAAGTATATTGTGATTTTACTTAATTATTAACGCTTTAGGTAGTTGATCCAGTTTCTGGAAGATCTGAATGTGTCTTTTCTGTTTTAAAGGTTCATAATATTTATTCTAACTGAAAAGATAGCGCGAGGGACGCTTCCAAAGTGAAAGTCAAATAAGTCACACACACATTTGTGTGACTTATAAAATTAAAAAATCCTAAAACTAAGTATATATGCTTATGAATTATAATGTACATTACCGGTACATACACACCCATAATTGATTTGAAAGAGATCTAGTTTATTTTTAAAACGTCATAAATCGTAAAATTACATTACCATCTGCTACTACTGAATCCTTACCTAATGAGCGAGCCCAACTCCCACCTTACCGCTTTTTTGAAGATTAGCGATTGTTCGTCCTACAAAAGAGACTTTTGAATCATACAACACACGCAATAAGTTTTTTTGCATTGCTTAAACACATGGATATCCCGTGCGATAACCGAGGTTATTGATTCAAATAAAATCCCAAACATGTCTCTACAGCGCAGTGACTCTTACAAAAAAATAATATATAAGTTTTGCTTGGCTATGATAATAATATTTACGGTTTGTGGATAAAACCTGATTATTAAGAGGCTTGACAATTATAAACTCGAAATATAAACTCAATATTTTAATTAAAAAAAGTAAATAATGGTAGCACAGTAACACTCAAGAATACAATAAAGGTAATCTGCCTTTTAAGAAAACCATTGTTGCGTTAAAATATTGAGTCGACTGTACACATTAAGTTTGAGCAGAAAGATAGTTTACAGGGAGGTGTCCAAGGCCCCTTTAATGATCTGGTATCACTCTTAAACAAGGAAACTTACTATTTCCAAGAAAACTTGTTTCAAATCAAACATTCATAAAGAGTGGTAAGGTTATCATTGCAGTTCCAAGCACTACCCTATGACCATTTTCATCCACAATTTCCTGCAGCCAAATACTAAATACAGCCCATCTATTGTATATATCGTATTGTTCTGTTGTTTGAATTAAAATATCAATGTATAAGTAGAATGTGGTAAAATCTTTCGAAACGCGTTAACAAAATAGTGACATGCCAAATGATTATTATTAGGACTTGAATATTCTGAACTGAGGTCACGTGTTGCATTAGTTGCATTATACCTATATTTTAAATACAATGTTGTTGATTAATTAATTTCTAATAACTTTCTTAAACTGTTACAGAATTTCTTGCGCCCATTTCGTGAACATCATATTGACCCCACATCAATAACTCGTCATGATTTTATCGAGACCAATGGCGATAATTTTGCTATTACTATACCGGTCTTAGCAAGAATTGTGTGGCAACTTCTCACGTATGATGATGAAAATATTAATGCCCAATTTCCCTGGATTGCTTACTGGTACTTATGCTGTATCTTTGTTGCAATGACCAATCAGGTATATATTTTTTAAGTTCCTATATTTATTTACCTTATTTGATTTCAATTTTGACAATTTGTATAGGTACCTACTAATGTATTAAACATTATATTTACAGATACATAAATGGTCTCATACTTATTTTGGACTGCCAATGTGGGTTGTTTGGTTACAAGAATGGCACATAGTGCTGCCACGTCGTCATCATCGCATACACCACGTAGCGCCGCACGAGACTTACTTCTGCATTACCACAGGCTGGCTTAATTGGCCTTTAGAAATGCTCCACTTCTGGTCTACACTAGAGACTATAATCGAAGCAGTCACTGGTTGTAAACCCCGAGCCGATGATATGAAATGGGCACAGAAAAGGTCCTAGAATAATTATATAATTACCTATTCCTAAAAGGTATACAGTTTTTATACAAATAAACACTCGTCCACATCTACTGAATCAATTAATAATAATAGGTTTAATATTTTGCTACGATAAAAGCGATATTAATAAGTTGCTTATTTTTAAGATTGCTAGATAGCAGATTGTCGAATCTGCTTTAACGCCAAAAGCAATAAAATTAACATGTCTCAATGATGGGTCTGTTTGATGTTAGTACGGCCTGAGTGAACTAATTTTTGATAACGCAGTGCCTTAATATTACAATCCGTTCGTAAACATAAAGTCAGAGTTGTACGAGTTGAACTCGCTCGTGAAAAGTACAGGAACTATTAAAAACTTGACTCTAAATACTTGCACATTATTTGGCCATAGCTCTAACAATGTATTATTATAGTATCTAATATAAGTAAGCAGTAATACCAACAAAACTCCTCTTCTATCATAGCTAAAGGATGTAGCTCCCTGGTGAAGTATTACGATGAAACAGGTTCCTTATTTTGTCCTGGTCTGCATTTTTATGAATCATAATACTTCACGCTTATAAGTGCCCACTGTTGAGCAAAGGCCTCTTCTCGCACGAAGAAAGTTTGAGTATTTATCAAAGACACGCTTGCCTATACTCTAATGGCATATTTGCTCAATGCGGATTGGTGCTTATGATTACAAATTTATGAGTCCGAGTTTCTTAACGTAATTAATGTTTCTCTTTCCCGTTTCTCAGTGATATCTAAATAATCTTAGAAAGTGCATATAACTCGAAACGTCACATTGGTACTCGCCAGATTTCGAAGTCGCATCCTCATTAACCTCCGGGCCACTACGACATTTTTTACGAATGGTTGTAACATAATTCTCCATTACGCAATCACCTTCCTTGTGTAAAGACAATCACAAATTAATGGTCTCTTTTCTGCCTGCCCCAGCTCCCTTGAAAGTCCTCAAACGTGTCATCCCTATGTAACTTAGTAGGTACATTCACTAAGTACCAAGAAGAAAGAAATAATCTTTTCATTTCTTTCTTACCAGGCAAAGAGTTGTCCAGGGCATAAAACTAGTCAAAATTACGGATGCTACAAATTTTGGAATCAAGAACAGAAATCTTACACTTCTGGCCTTCTCGGATTTCAACAAATCCATCAAGCCATCAACATCGTAGATGTTGATATACTGATTGGTGCACCAAACTCTATAAACATATCTCTGGCTGTAACTGATTGGTTTCATATATCGCCAACAGCGTATCCACATTGAAAGTTCTTTTTCTTCTTAGTCTAACATTACTGCTGGAAACCCACGCGAGGGGCGTGCTTTTTCCTTTACCCTTCGCATTGTTTATACATTCCATTTCCAATGGCCTTATAATATTCTACCAGTTGTATTCTGCCGATTTGCAAATTTATTCTTAGGCAGCTCTTGATTAATACTCCGTAGTAGTGAAGATGATTCATACAGACGTAGCAGGAATTTTTTAATGGAGTACACGTTAACCATTCGAAGACCCGGCTCATCAAAAGCAAGCACTCATTTGAACTCTAGATTCATTTGGTCATATATCCCACCGGTTGTTTTCGATGGTACCTAATACCTTTAGCTATTTAGGGAAGGATTTCGGATTGTTACCAAGTTTGTACAAGAAAGAGTACTTGTTCTGTGAAATAAATAGGTACCGTTATTTATTTTACAGAACAAGAATTCTAAACGGGTAGCCTTATTACTAAAAGCGTTATTCACCAGGTAACCTTTAGGTCAGTTTAGGTGAATGGAACGCTGCAGTCTCTAGTCTAGTCAGTTATGAAATTAATACTGTCTGATATTCAACAATGATATTCTTCAAAAACACAAAAATGTTATAAATAAGGCTGTGCTTGTCTTACCGACACTAGGAATGTATTTCACAGCCGAGCTCTTAGGACCGTAAAAGATTTATTGTAAAATTTGGCAGGACGCTGAGCTCAAGCCTCAACGTCTATGGCGGTTTAAGTGATAAGGCGCTTGCAGGATTAAACAGTAGAAACGATATCCTTATTTCGGCGATTGCAGACTTGTCATGTTTGTCAGTATTCGGAATTCGCGTGAAACAAATATTACAAATTAAACTGATTTTTGTCGTCGCTCAAGCCTATTCGGGGGCTTCCTACAATTATGATTTGTGTTGACCGTTGATGGTAGTCGTGCAGTCGTATCGTACCTTTTTTTGTTAGATACTGGTGAACCTTCAAAAGGCGCCTAGCTTTTGGGAAAAAATACTAGAGTGTGGGATTTTTACCTAACTAAAACTCCTCAGTGGCTGAAAGCTGTACCTACTTTCTGGAGCTGGTCTATTAAGAGGTCTCGGTGTCCCTTACACGTGTTAATGGTGGCCATGGAATGAAATGCGTAATGGAAAACTAGTATCGACTGTGCCAATAAATTGTAAATCAGTGTCCTACTCATACAGTAGCGTGACAATATGGTGTAACGCATTGAAAACTCATTCAGTACATAATAGTTTATCCTACTAGGCACTTAGTAATTAAGCGTATTTTTACGATGACATTATAAGAGCTATGGTCACATTTTTGTGATGCCAAAATAAAAATTAGTCATATTAATAACAGTTACCTACCTGGATATCTAGATGTTAAATTAACTTCTATATGATTATAGCAGGTAGATATTCAGAAGTTCTATGATTAAGAATAGTAACCATCATTCAGTATACACAAATTATATTATTGAATTGAAAAATATAACGAATTACCTCAGAAACTCATATTTGAACGTAATGCATTTACTACTGGCAACTAAAAGTGGAATACCAGTGTAGGTATGTACCTATATTAAGAATTATTTAAATAATGCAATTTCTTATTAAATTTGGTAGCTACTTATATATGATACTAACCATTTCTATACAAGTACCTACATGGAACGATTATTTAGTTATTTGATTAAAATGTGCACACTGCACAAGTTTATGTGGTAGCTTGAATTGTGACAATAGATAGCTATTTTGATATTGATAATAATAAAGTGATGCCTATTTTAAATATAATATTTATAATGGTATGTGTACATTATTAAATATTCATATTTTGCTCTCATACATTTTACAAAACTGACACAAATTAGGTAGTGTAATTAACTTCGGGCTAAACGAACAATGTAAGTAATGTCATGCAATGCTTTAATATTTTACTATCAATGATGTATTCTTTACACGAATTGTCTAAATAAATGTTACGTTATAATTATTACAAATAAAAAATAGGTATACTATTGTTGTTTTATTATTATCCACGTTTGTTTTGGTTGGTTTGTTACAGTAAATTATTCCTTCATTATTAGACAAGTTACAGTTATTGACTTTAAAACTACACATTAGCATAGATATAGAAATACTGGGTAGGTAAAACCAAGGTAAAACGAATAAATAGATAATTAATTTCGTTACTTTCAAGAAGATATTTCATGGTTTTAAATTGTATATTAGGTACCTAGATTAATTCTATGAACACCATTTTTTTTTATAAATAAAACGTTGCCCCACACTAGGATTTTCTCCTGTGTCGTGGGTGCGTTTACAAACATACAATTCCACATTCACATGACACCCAGACCTGAAACAACAATTTGTGGATCACACAAAGTGTTGTTCCGTTGGCAACAAGTTGGCAGCCAGTTGCCCAGCCACCGCGCCAACCGTGCAGTCATTATCAATTAAGGTGATAAACCAGGGGGGGGGGGAAACTCCCATATAAAGAGCATTGCAAGTTTACGATGCTGCCATCTCTTAGTCTTGAACCCTAATTTTAATTTACTAATAGTTTTAAGCAACCAAACAGATGGCGTTGTATTGCATTTTTTTTTTCAAAGTACTTGTATTTTTATAATTGTATTTCAGTATTTTATTTATTCAAAATATTATGTATGTTTAAATAAAACCTACACATAAGCTTAATTTATTAATCATTGTCGATCCCACGGATGCCAGACGCAAAAATTTTTAAAGGCTTAAAGACTTGTATCCAAAACACTACAAAATATGACATTTGCAAATGGCCGTTGTTTTTCAACATTACTTGTCGTTTATTTTTGAATTCAATTTGGATTTTTTATTTTTATCAATTGAGAAAATGCCTACTACAAGACGATGTGTATTTGGGTGTAAAACAACAGGTAAGACTGCTAATTTGTCAATTCGTTCTTAGATAATAAGGACTAGTGATATAGAATAATTGAGGAGAAACTTTTCAAAACGGGTTAGGTGCATGTTATTTGTCACAAAATAGAAAAAAACTAATTGTAGGAAAACCTTTTAGTGCACAGAAAAGTAATGTTACTATTATGAACTACATAATTATTTTTTTAGGTGTTACCGTCCATAATTTTCCACAACCTACAAAAGATCCAGACCGGTTCAAGATCTGGGTAAATCTGGCTGGATCGTTGTTGAGGGGCTTGTCTGATGAAGAGATTTTTCACAGAAAGAAAGTTTGTGACGTACATTTTAAACCACAAGACAGAACCAGGAACAATCGCTTGAGTGCGATTGCTGTACCTTCATTACTACTGCCAGGTAATTATTTACATACTTATGGTGAAAGACATTTATTTCCCAATAAGACTAAACTAAATTTTAAGACTAAACTAAATTCTTTGTGAGAGAAATTTGTTTTTGTTGTAAATTGCACCTTTGCTCAATTGTATACATTTTTCAGGCATTCACCACACAGCTATACCTCATCAGACCATAGATGTACCATCCACATCATCAATTATTGATATGCCTTCAACATCAATCATAATGCAGTCAGGTAAATTACATTTTGAATACATAATATTGACTGTACCACATTGATATGAAACCTTATATATCAATGTTGTACCAATGCACATTATCGTAACTCGTGCTTTACGTATTTTTATTCAATACAGTATAACAGTAGTAACTTCTCTTTGATTGTGGGAATCCCTGCTTTCTCTGAACATCTGATTTAAGAATTGGAAATTCTCCGTTCTACGACTTTGTTCTATGGGGTTTTACTCGTTTGTTTCGTTTGTTCCACATGTTTATCTTGGCTGACAGCTGTGTTTTAACGTTTGTTAGAGATACATACATAACGTTACGTTAAAAATGCCGCCTATAAAGAAAAAATCATTGCATGCACGCAGTTATTGAATATTTTCTTATGTTTTTCCAGGAATTGCCACAGTAAATGTTGCAACTCATCAACCTTTCACAGCAACAAGCATTAAGACCCCATCAAAATCAATCAGTATGAAGTCAGGTTGGTTTAATCCTTTGAATAGTGTGTTCTGCAACTTGGAGCTTTGAGATATAGATTATAGACCTATTTGCAAATAAGAAATTTCATACTAAACCGATTCATATAGTTACCCATTTATAGTTAAAAGTGAAATGAACAATGCATATTAATTATTAATAACGTGTGTCGTGTACTCATAAAATATATTATTTCCTTTTCAGGATCAAAATCACGATGGCTCTTCACTAGGACGACAATAAGACAAATTAAGAATTTAAAAAGAGAGATATTAAGATTGAAGAAAAGAGGAGATATGTACAAAACAAGGATCGAAAACGCTGAGAAGGTCTCCAATAATAAAGCTTTCCAAATTATTACTGCAAAAATGAACTTGCCTACAAAAATTTTTACTGGTATGCAATATCGCGAAACCAGGAAAAAGCCTAAAGGACGTCGTTTTACCATAGACGAAAAAATATTATCCTTATCGTTTTACAAAAGAAGTCCTAAATCGTATAAATTACTGTCAAAATGTTTTACAGGTGTAAAACATTGGCAGGTGTTAAAAAAAAATCTCCCCATCATCAACTATGGATAGATGCGATTAAATTTTTAAAAAATATGAAATTCTTAGAACAAAAAAAAACGGGAGACAAAATTCGTTTAATCGAAAAAACGGTGCCATCGATTAAGAATTTCATTAAAACTATTGAAGGAATGCAAGTTATTTGGAAAGTTTTATCCGAAAAGCATGGTTTTGACATTATGTTGTGCAGAAACTTTAATCAGGACCCGATTGAAAATTTCTTCGGGAATGTAAGAAGTTTAGGGGCCAGAAATGTAGCACCAAATTGTGTAAGTTTTGAAGGCGCATATAAATCTCTTTTATTAAATAACTTTTCATCCTCGCACTCAATTAAAGCGAATTGCGAGGAGGACATCGCTACATTTCTGCAGTCTTTAAACTTTTTATTAGACCAAAAAGAGACGACTGAAAAGTTAGACAGTAAAGAAAATGACCTACCTCTCCAAATACCTATAAGCAATAAATTATTAGACGATGATGTAGAAATTCGAGAGGCAGGTTTTGAAATAAGAAATTACGTATGTGGTTGGGTATTAAAAAAATGTTTCGCACGAATTTGTAAATCTTGTAAAACCTGTAGACAGGAACTGCAGTCAAATGAAACTGATGGTACCTCACTAATAAAAGAAAAGGAATATGTAAAAGGGAAAAAATGGCTTGTATATCCCTCAAAAAATCTCTGTACCTATTTCTATGAAATACAGAAAAATACTACAAATGCTTTAAAAAACAACGTAGGCACAGAGAATACAAGACTTAATATTAAAATTATAAATGATTTCTTAGTAGAAAATTTCCATGTAAAATGCGAAAAACATAATGATGCATTTAAGAAGTATTTTGAAGAAAATGTAATAAATATCTTAATTTACAGTTGGTGCCGTTCAATTAATAGAATTTTGGCGGGAAAAATAGTTTATAATGGAAATGATGAAATTAAAAAAGCTGCTCAAGTATATTATAACAAACACAAACATTATAAAGCAAAGAAATAATAAACCAATGAAATTTTAAATATTTTTCCAGCCAAAATTCTATTAATTGGATATTCTGTGAATATTCCAAGCGTCTACCAGTTGTCGTTATTAAGATCGAGAAAAAAAATACAAAAAATGTATGGGAGGGAGCCCCCTTAAATATTTATTTTATTGTTTTTAGTATTTGTTGTTATAGCGGCAACAGAAATACATCATCTGTGAAAATTTCAACTGTCTAGCTGTCACGGTTCATGAGATACAGCCTGGTGACAGACAGACGGACAGCGGAGTCTTAGTAATAGGGTCCCGTTTTTACCCTTTGGGTATGGAACCCTAAACAGCACACATAATAAATCTACTACGTACATACTTTGTATCTTTACCAAAACTAGGCTAAGAACATTGTTACTAACTTCTTGTATTTGTATTTTTTACTGACACTAGGCTAAGATCATGTTACTAACAAATATGGAGAAATCTGAAATAAATATTAATATTGTTTCCTTTATTCAGTGTTTTAATATTATTATTTTATGGCCTACTAAGTTTAAGTAATATTATGTACCATCTACCAGTGAAATTTTATGATAAACTATACCAATTCTTAAAAACAGCTTTTGTTAATCTGCTCCCAGCTTGAAATACTATATCTCAAGCTGATCAAGCTGATCAATGACAGCTGCTTTTAAGAATAAGTATAGTTAATCATAAAATTTCACTGGTAGATGGTACAAAACATTTCAAGCACACAAAAGCATAGCGTACGTATGTGTGTGTAAAACGTATACGATAGTTTAGGGTTCAAGACTAACAGATGGCGCTACGGCTCGGGGAGACAAAAAAAGGCTACAAGAGAACCCTCTATTTTAGTATTGTGACGGAAAAGTGGTTCAAACTCTTTGACATCATGACGTCAATGGATGGTTGTCAAACGTTGCCTAGAGATTGTAAATTTCGTCGTGAATTGTCAACACGAGTTGGTGTAATCGGTAAGGCGTGTGGATTACACCACAGAGACCCCGAGTTCGAGTCCCGCCGTAAACATGAAGTTTTTTAGATTATAGAAGTTTTGTCGAACTTTCTGGAATTATTTGTGTGAAAGAAATGAAAAATTAAAGAGCGAGAAGGAGAATAAATAAAAATGAATAACGAAATTATTGGAAGGTTCTGGAGGCATGACGATCAAAAAGAATAACGAAATTGAATGTTCCAGAACCTGACCGGGGGTATATAAGCGGAACTGCGGCTCACCGCTGGCAGTTGAGTTCTAAGTCTAAAGCGATTCGGAAGAAAAGGAAGAAGTGAGAAAGAAGAAAAGTGAGTGAAATAGTGAAGTGCAGTGAAATAGTGCAGTGCAGTCAGTTAAGTGAGTTAAGTCAGCGTGAACGGCAAAGTTGTGTCAGTCGGCCGGACTCTGCTGGAGAGGAACGCCGATAACTTAACTCC